ACATAAGAATGAAATTAAGAAGTCTTGAGTTTCAGATTCAAATATTCAGGACTTTATGCCGAAAATAACATAATACAAAGATGATACAAAGAAACTGTTCAAAAAATGAATAAAAAGAGGTAACACACACATCGAGTCTTGATGAATAAAAATATTCAGGGTGAAAATCTTTGCTGGTTTCAATTGTTTAATTCATCAAGAACAAACTAAAGAAACACAAACACATTAAAAAACAAAGTTCAAAACTGAAATCACAGTCTGATCCAACTAGTGCCCCTGTGTAGCTGCATCCAGTCCCAACAGCCTCTGGGCTTCTGGTCAGAAATCGGATCGTGTCCTGCTGGATCTCATCACAGACATGGATCAGGATATCACTGAGCTCCTGGACAAGTCGCTGTTTGGCAGTGTTGGATTCACCAAAGTTGGATTCAAGTCTGGTGAAGGTGAGGGCCAGTCAATGGGCAATCAGCGCCTTCGACATCCAGGCACTGCTTACACACTTGGGCTGCATGACTGCCCGGAAACAGGAGGAACCCAGTCCTCACAGCATGAACATAATGTCTAATGATAGGCTGGAAGAATTCATCCCAGTTCACAACAGTCAGGGTGGTATTCATCATTCAACATGACACTGCCAAACTGGCACACTGAACAATGTTGAAGGCAGCATAAAATCTGACTATTTGATGCCTGTGACATGAACCTGCTTTCATTTGTAAAGACAGCAGAGTGCCAGTGGTGGACCTGCCAGTTCTGGTGTTTTCTGGCAGTCAAGCTGCACAGTCCTGGGCTGTGAGTACAGGTCCTACTAAATGATGTGGGGTCCTCATGACACCATCACAAAGTGGGATTCTAACAATTTGGTCAGAAACACAAACAGTAGGCTGTTGGACGTCATTTTATGTTCCTCTATGCACAGAGGAGCAGATACTGATCGTGCTGGCCTTCTATGGCCCTGTCCAACTCTTTTTATGTAATAGGCTGTCTCCTAGTATCTCATCAACACTCTTGAGACTGTACTGACAGACATAACAAACCTTCTAGTGATGCCAAACATGGATGTGCCGTCCTGGAGGAGCTGTTCCACCAGTGCAACATGAATGGGCTGCAAACACCAACTCGCTGCATCAGTAGTGACAAGAATATTTCCAAAAAAGGAAACTTAGAGATAAATCAGTCGGGAGGGATACGAAGAGATTAATGATCTGTGGCCACATAAGAGTAAAGCAAAAGTAACTATGGGAATGGGTTCATAACTGTACATGGAGAAATAGTTTAAGCTAAACAATTTTAATTTAAAATTTCATCACTCAATGTAAAATAGCAAATATTTGGGGTTTTGGGCAGCACGGTGGTTAGCACTGTTGCCTCACAGCAAGAAGGTTTGTGTTACGTGTTAACCGTGTTAAGGTTCGGCTACGTGTTAGCCCTGCAAAAGACTGGCGACCAGGGTGTACCCTGCGACCAGGGTGTACCCTGCCTCTTCCCCTAAGACAGTTGGGATAGGCTCCAGCCCCCCCCCCCCCAACGACCCTGAAAAGATTCGGATAAGTGGAAGCGAATGGCCTTCAGGCAGCACTGGGGGCTTGAGCTTTAAAAGCAGATGTGATTGCATGTTGCAGTTCACAGGAACACCTCTGAAAACCATTCACTGTATGCTGGCCATGCATGCAGGCCACTGGTGTACCACTGACTAAACAATCAGGAACAGACTTCACGAGTGTGGCCTGAGGCCCCGATGTCGTCTCATGGACCCTGTGCTCACCGCCCAGCACCATGGAGCCTGATTCACATTTCCTATAGAATACAGAGGTGGTGGCTTACAACGGCACCTACAATGAAATCTTGAGATCCTTTCCCAGGTGCTTCAACCAACATTAACACATTGCCTCAGTTGACCTCAGTTGGTCACTGATAGGGTGGGGCAAAGTCTCACCGTGGTTTCAGTCTTAACCTGATGTGATAGTAATGACCCATTTTACACACCATGGCTCATGTGATGATGTACATGATGATTAGAAGGTTAGCGACCACCACCAAAGAGGACGACGCCCACTAGGGTTCAAACACCTATCCATGTTTTGTTTTTAAAATTGAAGAAGCCTCTTGGATGTGAGGATGAATGTCTTCACAAGCTTAAAGATTTCCAGTTGCCTTATTTTAGCACACAAAGAACCGTTTTCACTCACAGTACACAGATTGTTATAATACTTCTGGAAACTTGTCAATATCTGCATGCAATTCTAAGGGCAAGTAACATTAAGGAGAATCAGCATGTCCATTATTCTTGTCACGGTACTGGGTCATGTGACCCAGTGTTTGAGTTTTTACGTATTTTTTGTATTCATTTTTAATCTAGTTAAATTCTAGGTTGCTGTTCAGACCTTATTTCTTAGTTATTTCTGTCATCTCCGCCTGTACTCAGTCTCCCTGGTTCCTGCGTCTACGTTTCATGTCTATGTGGTTATGTTAAGTTCATGTCATGTTTTATCTCCATGTCTATGTCTATGTGTTTCCTGTTTTATTTTGTAAGAGTCTGGTGTTCTTTGTTCATTGTAGTTAGTGTTACTCTCCCCTGTATTGTCATTGTGTTTCATTTGAGTCAGCTGTGTTCTCATGTGTCTCCACTTCCCCTGATCACCTCATGTGTGCATTTAAGTCCTCAGTCTTCCTTTGTTCGTTGTCGCGTCGTCTGTGTACTTCCCCTCTAGTCAAGTTAAGTGGTTTTCAGGATTCTGTGCAGTTCATGTTTGCCATTTGGTTTATGTTGTTTTTCATGCAGCCGCACGATGAGGTTCCGTGCAGGTCATGTTCATGTCTGTTTCGTCACGCCATTTGGTTCACAGTTTCCATGCATCTGCACAGCATTCTGTTCACAGCGGTCACAGTTATTCCTTTCAGTCAGGTTAGTGTTTTTCCAGTTTAGGTTTTTGGTGCAGTCTCTGTCCCTGTTATGTTTTGTCTACTCCCTTCTGCATCAGCCCAAATAAAGGCTCGCTTTCAGTTTAAGTTCACTCCCGTCTCCTCGCCTGTGTTCGCGCCTGGGTCCACCACACACACTCTCCACACGGTCTGCCCCCGCTGGCCGTGACAATTCTAACATAGTTATATCTTAGTACAGACACTGAAACTTACCTTTATGTGCAGCAGACTGAAGGGTTTTCGTAGGAGAAGCTCTCTTCATCGCTGCCTGGTAGTTTTTATACAGGGCAGTTCCATACTGAACACACACACAGGACACAGTGACATATATATACATATATCTTCTATATGTATAAAAGAGGGCTGTGTTTGCACTGTCCATTCATTCACGCCGTGGCAGACATTTCTGGAGTCACATAATTACATGACACACCAAAAAGTAGTTTCTAAAAGGTGTACACTCCATCCATCAACCTGAATGAGTGGACCGTTTGAACACGAGCCAGGTTTTTAAATTCACTGTTTACGGTAAAGCGAGCTATGCTACAGTTGGGTTGAATCTGACCTTGGCTATTCTGATGGAGTTGACCCAAAGCACCAGTGTTTTTTCATCATCACAGCAAAGTAATTTGATGTAGGGAGAGTCTTTCTGGATGCATGGGTGCTGGGAAAAGAGTGACAACAAAGAAAGCTTTTATGCCAAAGAGGACGGCCAGTCATTTAGTATCACAGTCCACTTCATTGATGGGGAGAAAAGAGAAAGAAATGGTCAACAGGTATGCTTTCTGGTATCAGAAGCCTCTAAAACGCTGCATCCTACGTTACCCATAAGTCTAATTCTTTTAGCAACCTGGGAAAAGCCAACATCTTTCCAAACCTGCACATTTAAGCTCACAGTTACAAATCCTGTGACATCACGCTGACATCATTTACTCAAGATGTCTTTCAGCGACACACAGAAAATGTCCCACTGTTTTCCACAGGTAGGGAAGTGGGTCTCATTTATATTAAATTAAATGCTAGATGTTGGTGCTTCTGTAAAAATATATATTTGTAATCCACAAAAGCATCCAGCAGAGGGCAGGCCATGCCAAACTGTAACTACAGAGTGGGCCGTGAATAAGCACTGAAGGGTTAAATCATTGCTCTGCCACTGTCATTGTGGAAGTCTTTCACGTGACTAACACTACATCTCCAGAGTGCACGTGATTGTCTGGTCAAATACTGAGAAACGACCCAAAAAAACAGGAAACTAGGTTGCACCCACTGGTCAGTATGGGCGAAACCAATTGAGGTTTTGTTTTTCTAGTACCACTTCCTCACTTAACTGCATCATCTGAAAAAAGCCATCTTGATCTGTTGTGCTGGAGTGCAGCTGTATGCTGAGTGCATCCGGTATCATTTAACTGTGGTCACTTTGGTTGGAGTGATATTTGAAACACATGTTAATGGAGAACAATATGAGTCAGTATGAGTCTCAAGCGTACAGCTGAGTAGCCCTCAGATATAAACTTACATGACCTTCAAATAGTACTACGTCAGGTCTGCACTTTGCACCACTCCATGTTTAGGCCTGCACCCGAACTGAATTAAAATAAGTGATAAAAACCAAACCACAATCTTCTTGTTGTACTCTGCACTTCTGGTCACTGCTCTGTTTTATTTATGCATGTTCAGGAAGCCTTCAGAGTGCTTAAAACAGATCAGACTACTTGAACTAATGAGA